AGGGGGAGCCTGGGGCCTGAACAGAGCAGCCAGCTCCCCAGTGCTCTGTGGCTCTGTGGGGTCCCCAGATAGACCTCACGTGATGGGTTGCTGGCCAGGGAGGGGCTTGAGGACTGCGCCCTGCCTGCCATGGTCCGCAGAAGTGCTTCCAAAGTTCCAGAGTGCTGAGGAGCGTGCAGAAGGCCACTTGGGAAAAACAAGGGCTGCCCACAGCACTTCCATCGGAACCTCTTGCCGCAGAGATGGGAAGCGACTGGTGTGCAGGAAATCCCATGTGGGGCCTCCCAGTGTTTTCCACAGCGAAATCCATCCACCAAGGGTCAAGAATCCCACTGGCTCTACAGAGAAAGCTAAATGTCCGTCATGGCAACTAACGGGAAAGGGAAATAAGTTCATTTAATTTTGTTTCACACTGACTTTGATCCTGCTGCAATGTCTCACAGATGAGCACTGTTACAGACAAGCACAGGAAGCTCAGGGGCTGTTTAAAGAACAGCAATAGAGATGTATAAAAGGAAAAACGGAGGCATGGAGTTAGGAACTAGGAGCTTCTTACTTGGTTATTGGGCTGCACAGGAAAAAAAAATAAGAGTAAGGAAATGAAAATCTGTCTTCACGATTAAAAAATAAACAAAAAGAAGATCCATATCTAGCCGATAGATTCTTACATTTTATGTTTTTTTTAGAGCAATCTGACAGATAATTTATTTGTGCATGAGAACCCCATACAGATCATTCTGGCAGTTTTACAGAGGAGGACGATAACGAGCTAATACTAGAATCCAGATGGAATTGATGGTTCCAGATTTCTGTCCTTACCTGAGTCCTCATCAGGAATGGAAGTGAAAGGTGATGCCCAAGGCAGTCTGTCTTAAGGGGAGAAGGAGGGGACAAAGGGAGATAAAATCAGGTGGGCAAAGTGTGAAAGTGAGCACCAGACAGGCCCCTGGAATCAGGAGGAGCCAACAGGAACCTCGGTTGCTGGCCTAATTCAGTTAACAGAGCATTCCCTTATTTCCCTTTGGCTGCTTTCATGGGATATCAGGTTTGTGAACAAACACTGGTTTGTTCTGGCGGACATGTGGGATTTCTTAGCCGCTCTGCAGAGGTCAGCGGGAAGCAGTGTGGACCACTAGAAGCAGTGGGCACTGGCTGATGAGGATGAGACTAACCAAGTGTAGCCCATGTGGCGATTTTGTAAACCATTTGCAAGGCAAAAGCAGTCGGCAACCAATGTGTCATTACAAAAATAAATATTTCATAGCTGTCAGCATCTCACATTGGAACTATTTTCTCTCTTCTTGTTCCTGGTAACCCCTCAGCACCCACTCCCTGGCAGGGGACAGGCCCTAGGAACTGCACTGCACTCTGAGGCCCTGGAGCAGTGGGCAGCCATCCTAACCCACCTGTCCGGTGGGGTATCCAGGTCTCCAGGACAGCAGGGTTTCCTGACCCTTCCCTTGGACACAGCGTGAGCTCGGTTCCACCAGCTGCCTTGCCAGGGACCCCTGGAGGCCCCGCAGGAGCCTGCTCACAGCCCAGGTCTCAGTGGCTGTTCGAGGGAGGGAGAGCTCCCCACACTCACCTTTAGCAAAGAAAAATCATTTGTTAAGTGGCACAAAACAGACTCCTGAAGGAAAGTAACTCTGTGAAATTGCTATCTATACTTCCTGTATCATAAACAATGATGGAAACACCAAGCAGAAGCACTACTTCTCACCAGTCCCATTAAACTGCTCTGCAGTCCATCCTTCCCCACCCTGCATGTAGCTTTAGGCAGGCACCAAAGCCTTTCAGAGCCTGTTAGTTATAAGAACCATCTTGTTTCTTCAGTCAAAATGTCCAGTCTAATATAGTAATCAAAAGTCCAGTTCAGTCCAGACTTAGATATTCCCCTCCTAGCCTGGGCTGCTTCAAGACTGGAAGCTCACATGAAGACCCATTCTTCTCTCTCCATCATCTCCTCTCTACTCGCTTGCTATGGCTTCTGGTCCAGGCTGGGATCCAGGGGTTAAGGACGTAGCCCTGTATGTCCTTAACATGCTGGAGCAGGGGGAGCCGGCCCTGGCTCCTCTGAGGGTGGCAGATGGACAGTGACTAGCTCTTCCTCTTAGGGGGCACGTGGCGGGATTCTGAGAGCTCTCTCTATTGGAGATGTAAGGCCAGCTACGCTGACTCAGGAAATGTCCCGTCTCCTGTGGGTCACTTTCAACTTCCCCAGGCCCTGGGCTGCCAGTGGTCTACCCCACCTCTCCAGGCAGTCATCCTGGACAGCATTCAGGGCAGCCCAAATTGATTCCTCATGGACCCAGCTGTTTGACTGACGGAAGCATGAATGAGCGCCACTCATTCCCAACCACCCACCTTTTTCCACTTCGCCCCAGCAAACACCTTCCACCTTCACAGAGGGGAGGGGGCCGTTTGCTGGAAGCTCCTCTCACCTGGCTGAAGTGAGAAGGAAAATCTCCTCTTCTTCCCCCAGGAGGTAGAGGACTTACACTGACAGCTCTTTCTGGAATCACCACTCACTGAGCTCTCCTGCCTCACCCGCAGGTGAGTGATCACAACTGCTCCCAGGGTCAGTTTCACAGGCCCTTAGTTTATCTTGGTTAGTGGCCTAGCAACTCTCTTAAAGATGTGCAGGCTTTTGGTCCTCTGCCTTCAAGTCTGAGATGATCAGAAGCAGATTTACTAGCCTGCCACCTAGGAATTACACTAAGTCAGAGACTCTCGAACCATATGCAGCTCTTTGGCCCCTTGAGTGTGGCTCTTCCACAAAATACCATGTGTGGGCGTGCACATACAGTGCGATTGAAATTTTGTGGCCCATGCGCAGAAGCCGGTTTTTGGCTCTCAAAAGAAATTTCTATCATTGTACTGTTGATATCTGGCTCTGTTGACTAATGAGTTTGTTGACCACTGCACTAAGTGCAACATCTGCTAGTGGGCATCTTTTCCAATGGCTGGGAGCTCCATGAGGTCAGAGGTTGCTGGCACCCTGCTCATGTTTATATCCACCCCAGTGTTTGGGCACACTCCGGAGCTCAATCTTTATTAGTTACTGAATGAAGGAGATGGGCACACAAAAAAGGGAGCAGCAGACTTCCCTCCATACACTCCATTGGGAAGGAAATTTTTATGTAAGTAGATAATTTTTGTCTTATCTCATGCTTTAAAAATATTCCCCTTCAGCCCACAATTAAGAAAATAAGCAATTGTTTCATTCACAGGTACTTGTCATCCAGATGGTACCAAGTCGGGTGAAGTGAGTGGTAACCTGCGGATGCAGCTGCAGGCCCCTCTATCAGTGCCATCCGTGGCCTGTAAAATTCCTCAACTAAGTTGACAGAGTATCTTTTCAGAATTTTTTGGCCAATAAGACCAGTCAGGAAAACCAAAATTGCTGAAGATCATACATACAAGGCCTTGGACAGAGTCTGGAGCACAGATCTGAACTGCCTGTAGCCAGCCTCAAATCCTTCCCCCACCTACTAGAAGCCAAGATCAACAGCAATTAATATAAATGCAAGAAGTTCGGTCAGAAGGCTGAATGGGATTTTTGATATTCAGAAGGCTGTCTTTCTGCATTGTTATTACCTGCTGCTGACTCAATAGCCGAAGGCAACCCCCCAAATCTGGTGATCTCTTTACTGTTTACTAAACATCACCTTTTTAAAAAAATTATATTTTATTGATTTTCTACAGAGAGGAAGGGAGAGGGATAGAAAGCTAGAAACACTGATGAGAGAGGAACATCAACCAGCTGCCTCCTGCACACCCACAACTGGGGATGTGCCCACAATCAATGTACATGCCTATGACCAGAATCGAACCCAGGACCCCTCAGTCTGCAGGCCGACGCTCTCTCCACTGAGCCAAACCAGTTTCGGCTAAACAACACCTTTGATATGTCGGTTTGCCTTCCTAAAAGGCAATTGATTATTCTAGTAAATAAAAGGCAGATGGGAAGGGAAACTCAGTGGAACTTGGTCCCTTGTACCAAGCTCACAACTGGCTTCCCCCATAATTTTCAAATTTATATTTCTTGTCTTGTGTATTAATTTGCGCATCAGCCCTTTCTCCAGGTCTTTGAGTCCAGGCCAGACTGGCAGTGGCCTCACCCCCTCCTGTCTGTGCACAGAAGACAAAGCAGCCATAGGAGCATCAGCTCTGGAGCCTGCAGACACCTTGGCATCTGGAATCATGCAAATGACATACAAAGGCTCCCAGCCAGGGACTCTCGTGAAGTGTGTGAACTATACAAACATGTCCTTAAGTTGGATTCTCCACTCCCACAGCCTTGATTTCTGTCTCTGCTGAGTTGGGTACTTGAAAGGCTAGAGAATGACCTCCCCGAGAGGATGAACAACAGCAGTATTCATATGCAAACTCAACTTGACCACTATAACCATGTGCCCAACATTGCAGAACCCCATGAAGGGAGACACACATGAATGGGACAAGCCCTGTCTGCAAGGAGCTTATGGACTGGTTGTAGGGAAATGAAATGTGGAAGCTGGAAGGATTTAGTCACACATATTTATATTGTACTTTATGCCTTTCATGTCTTTCAATTCAACACAGCCTTTAATTCTCACCACATACTTGGAGGAGGCAGGAGGGTAGTGGTTGTTTCTCTATTCAGAAGATGAAATTAACACTCAGAGAGGCCAAGTGACCAACTCAGGGCACCAGAGAAGACAGTGGTAGGGTTGGGAGAAAGACACAGGTGCCCTGACCCTGGGCTATTATTCTTACTAACCCATAGACAGGCATATGGGAGGAACCCTTGACTTGATGGACCCTAAGCAAGATGACCATTCTGATGCTCAAAGAAAGAATAACAACTCAGCTTTATCTAAGTTACTTAAAAAAAAAAAAAAGGCAATGGTTGGGTGTGGGCATATGTAATACCTTCAACAATCAAGATTTTGATGTATAAGACTTAAAAAGTTGATTTTAAAAACTCTTTAATATAATTCATGAGGCCACTGAATTACCTGTGCATGCTTTGAGACCCAGTGACGGAGGACATTCAGTACTCGATTGGTGGCTGTTCTACGGATAATAAACTCTTTGTCACATATTCTGTCGGTGTTGTTAAATCCTTAGGAAGAAAAGAAACACATACATATTCTAGTTAAAGCCAGTCCCCCAGGAACGTGGAAAAAAGTCATTTATTTTAGAACATTTGTTAATGAAACTCACATTTTGATAGTGAAATGACACATTGTAGCAGTGAGATGCAAGTGGCTTCTGACTGCTGTAAACTCTGCTTACTTACCTGTATACCCTCATAAATGAGTCCACCAGAATTACAGGTGCAATTAAATGAATAATGTTCATGTTTATTAAAGGTCACTGATTAAAGCTAAAGCTGGTCAAATGACACTTCCATTCTGCCTGCCTCACTCTATAATATAAAGCTGAGAAGTTTTAACAAGTATTTGGGTCAGCATTAATTTATTCTTTTGCCCCAAAGTGATTATATAACTAATAGCATTTTCAATACTTGTAGATGGATGAGCCCGTATCTTGGCTACAACATGCAAACACTTCATTATGCATGGATATTTTGAGAAGCAGCATTGTGTAGTGGTTAAGAACATGAACTCCACAGTCTGGATTAAAACTGTTCTCCTATCATGCAAATTACATCACCTCTCTGGTGACCAGTTTCCTCATGTCCTGTGTGAGATAATAAGTGTACCTACTTCACAGAGTTATTATGGAGATTAAGTTATTTAATATATGTTAAGCATATTGGTTCAGTGTCTTGAATCCTCTCTGTGTTAGCCTGTGTCTCCATCTTAGTGACCTTTTTACTATCAAGAAACTAGTTTAATATATTTTTTTATTTTTTTAAAAAGATTCTGCCTTTCCAATCATAATTAACCATAATTAATTAGTTATACATTTCCTTTAAAAATTAATTCAAGCTTCACATAACTTTACTGGAAAACTTCTTGAAAGTTGTCTAAATTACTCATTTCATTTCTTCATGTCCCATTCCAAGCTTCTCATCACCTCTCATCACCATAACAGTTGCCATTAAATTCACTAATAACCTCCATGTCCCCTGTAGCCAAGGTATCTCTATCATCTCTCAACAGAAACCTCATCCTATGATCACCTGTAAGAAAATATTTATCTCTTTTTTAAGCTCCAAATCCATATATCCAACTTCCTCTTGACATTTTCCTCTTAGATGTTTCAAACTCATGGCCTTTCTGCCGAACCTTGTTCTCTTCATATTTCCTATCTCAATAAAGGAACACCACCAGGCATCCAGTTAGATAAGCACCTCTACATGAGAAGTTAAAATAGAAAGTGGTCCAGGCTGATGAGGCCACTACCAGTCTGGCCTGGACTCAAGACACGGGCTCCTGACAAAAGCACACACAAAACCTCTCTGAAGGGACATCCACTCAACATGAGCCTATACTGGAAAGCCCCTGAAGAAAAATTCACAATCAAAATTATAAAACACACAAACCCTCCACTATGAACAAGGATCAGTAGACACAGGGATCAAGAACTCCCCACTCCTTGCATCACTACTACCAAGAATTTCAGGTACTAGAACTATGAGAACCAAAATTAAAATGTTTACAAAGACTAAAGGTGTAAAATGGAAATTGAAAACATGAGGAAAGAATAATAAGTATTTTAAAAGTCAGATTTTATAAGAACCACATAAAGCTTCTTCAAATTAATAAAATTATGCTTCCAACTATTATTGAAAAACAGAAAAAGATGCCATTGAAAATCCAACAGGAAGATAACATAGGTTAGACTCAGCTGAATAAAGAAAGAGCAAACTAGAAAAAGATCTGAAAATTAGATCTGAGAAAATTACCCAAATGTAGTACAAAGAGCTAAGGGGATGGAAACAGGGGGGGGAGGTTAAAAGACACGGAAGTAAGAGAATTTTCAACATGTGTCTAGAAATGTGCCAGAAGAAGAGAAAAAAGAGTTAGAAAGAGGCACTGTTGGAAAAGGGTTCTTCAGATTTGATGAAAGACATGAATCTGCAGGCTTAGGAATTACAATGAATACCAAGCCAGATAAATACATGGAAACCACACCTTGACAAATTGTGATATGGTAGAACTCCAAGAAAAGATATCTTTGAAGCAATTGGTAAGAATATATATGTTATCTATAAGGGACAGGCAGAAAAAGAGGATGGGAAATGGGGAAGTTATATTAATCAAATTAGAGCACAGGCTTCTACTGGAGTGAGAGCTGGGAAATAATGAGTCAGCATTTTTTTGGAGGCTATCAAATGCTCTTAAAATACTAAAAAAGTGGGATAAGACAGCTCCCCACCCACATGTATAACTAAAGGTGGCTAGTCAGTGAGACAAGAACAGAAAGGGTGAAAAGTGAAGATGAGAAAGGGACTGAAAGATGGAAATCAAAGTGAAATGGCAAGAGAGAAAAAGCAATTTTACGAGAGCTGCTATTCATTTAAAATATTTTAGTTGGGGGGGGGGGCGGGTAAGGGAGCATTTACTACCATTGATCCCCTGTGTCTGTTTCAGGGGTGGGTGAAGAGGGGAGTTTACTTTGAAAGACAGGCAAGGAAGGCAAGGAACTTTCTACTGCTTTCCAAATTATTTAGTGTAACACATAAGAAGACCACTTAAGAGGTGTTGTTTTTTTTTAAATAAAGTTTCCTACGTTTTCATAAATTCAAATCCCAAGCTCCATTACCATTTAGGTTAGGATTTGATTATACTACTTGGATATTCTTCATAACTACTTCTAATTACCATGTTTTGAACTTTTTAATGTAGAGCATAGCTTGGTAAGTTCTTGAACATCTGTTTGCTTTCCAGAGTTTATCACCTTCTGCCACTCTCAGGGTTCAAAAACTCTCTTGGAAATTGACCAGACACTAACTTAAGCGACCTTCCTCAATGCCCACTCAGCCAGAGTAGGAGGGTCAGCCAAAGGTAGGACCAGCCTTCCAAATACAATGGGAACACCAAGAACCAGGAAAGGGAAACTCCAAAGACACACCTTCTACTTTCCCCTGCACAGGGGACCCAGCGCTGATATGATTCCAGGATGAACAAGAAGTAAAATTCAGGGCAAATTATTTAACATCTCTGTGGCTCAGTTTTCCCACTCATAAAATGAAGAGAATAGTGTTGCCACATGAAGTTGTAAATAAGAAATAGATTTATTATTTAAAAAATATAAAGTTCTCACCTATAGCTTCATCTATTCATCCCTTTGACCCAGTGGCCTTCACAATATACTTTGACAGAATACTAGTCATAAGGACAGTATGCTAGTCATAAGGATAGTCAAGCTCTTCATTTTCTTTCTGAAAGACCCCTTTTATTGTTTAAGCAACAGATCTTAGGCAGAAATACTCTCTCAGTTCTATTGTAAACCACCTACAATTTAACCCAGATGCACAAGCCACCTACCTGGGGGGCATAACTTAGGCAAATCCTGAAAGATGTTTTATAAAAGGGACTACTGCTTACTCAGGGGTTGAAATTGCCTCATGGGCTTAGCTGACATGTGTGGTCTCGCTGTAACAGAGCGTATATAGATCCACCCTCCTGACCAGACAAGACTATCTCCCCATTTTTCAGTCTTGAAAGCTATAGGATCAGAGCCATAATTTTCCACCAACTGGCCAGATTTCCTCCTTACTGCCAGCACCCATCTAAACGGGGCTGCTTGGGTAATTATTCCTAATTTAAACGTGAACTACCCAGCTAATCAGCGGCAATTTCCAAGCAGAGGCCATTCTGTCCTAGAATCACAGATTCACCCCCAAGGAGTGTTGTGACGTTCCTGGAACAGCAAATAGCAAATCTTTGTGGGGCTTTGAACATCTTTCATTTGCCAAGTGTGACAGCACAACCAAACTCGACATGTACCGTGAGAGTTTATTTTACTTATATCACACATTGAGCATACTGTCACCCCAAGATTCCTGTCTATCAAATTTTTTTTTGTTTTATTATTGTCTAAAGTTTTACCTATGTCTTCTTTTTTCTCTGCTTGACATTCCCTCTCTCCCCTCAGCCATTCCCATCCCAGGCAAGCCCCACCACTACAGTATCTATAGTGTCTATCTAATTTATGAATATTACATTTTAGTTGTAGGCATTGGCTGGTAAAACTGGCCAATTTGGGCAACAAAAGTCATCTGGGAAAGTGGTAAGGACCAAATCACCATACATATGAATTTAAGAATAAGATTCAATTTCATGGTCCTTTCCCCAGACGCCATCTGAGTCATTCTACCCCTTAAAGCAACTGGCCGATGTGCCACCTCTCGCAGTAAACTATACTCCTTAGAGAAGAGATTTTACTAATATTTCAAGCACCTTTGTAGGCTCTTGAGCTTTGCACATAGACACTCAGCCAATATTTTTCTTATAAAAAATTGCATCGCTCCCAGGAGAAATGATTCTGAAGTGTCTGCAAATGCTACATAACTGAGTTAAGGTCATCCTTTCACCCTACTACCAAGAAGACTATGAATATGAAATCTGTCACAAGCAGAACTTAGGACAAAGTCATGGGGATTGGGGGCAAGGACGTTGAAAAACAGAGAAAAGCAAGGAAATTTTCATTTTGTTCTTCAACTGATATTGCATAGTGGCCCTGAAGACACTAATGAGCAATGAACAAATGCTACACTGTTTTATGCCTCTTAAAAAAAAAAACTTTTTTTTTTTTTTTTTATAAGTGTGTCCTTTTCCTTTAGTGTTTAGGATCTCCTTCTTACGCAGGTCAACCTGAGTAAGAGATTTTTTTTTTCTCTACCTGTAATTAACTGTAACAGAATGAAAAATTTAATGCATCTTTCTAGACTGAGGAAAAGTAGCTCAGCAGGTCCATCATTCTCTGTGATGAAGAATGGCAAAATCAATGTCTTTCCTTCTCTTTCATTTTTTAAGGAAATCAATAACTGTCAGCTGAATTGTTCTTAAGGATTTTTAAAAGTGTGTGCTACTTAGATTCCTTAAAAACAAACAAACAAAAAACAAAATAAAACAGGTGGTTAGGAAGACTTTATCCAAGGCCATCCCAACCGGTACAGGGACCCCTGCGTGGGATTTTACAGTGGGC